AATTTTTTATTTGCGACTGGAGTTAATTTAGGGGTGGGGGGAGGCAGAGTGCTCACAGTCTTTGGAGGTCTGGGGTAAATTTTGGATTTTCAGGCCTTTAGAAACCTGATTTCCCACATTTTGAGAAGCAAATCAAGTGGATTTAGAGTGGTTGTTGGTGGTGTTTTTATGTTCTTGCCCAAGATTTTTGTCAAAATATCCATCAAGGTTGACAGATTAGTTTACAAATTTTTTGTCATTTGCCACAACCTTCCTGCGACAGAAAAACAGATGAGAACTCTGCCATCCAAGTGATGGTTTTTTCTTGTGTTTCTCCAGCTTCAAGCCGCTGTTTTCAGCTCCCCTGTTGCCGTCCTGTCTGACTGAAGACTGTGAAGTGATGACTGTCACCCTGTGTGCTCGGTTACTGGTGACCCTCACTCCATGTGCAGCTCTGGTGTCTTCTTTCTGCACTCAAAATGGTGGGTGTCCTTCTCTTCTTCACAAGTTCCGAAGAGAACCCCACTTTCTGTCTATGCACAGATAACACAACAAGGTATAGGGTAGTGCGCACCGACACGTTGGTGGCAGACATTTTAATGGCTCCTCAAAAAACAAAATACAATGCAATTCAGAATCCAGTATAGTTATGAGTTATGAGAGTCTGAACATAGGTGAAGGTATACCAGAAGACAATCACTGTTGTACGTTAAAAACAACGTTAAACTGAACAAGGAAGACCTAATCAACGGGACCGTAGTCCGGGATCGTAGTCCTACGCTACACTAACAGAAGGAATAAAACTTACAATAAGACTTACAAAGAAAAAACAGCCAAGTTAGGGTGGGTGGGCGGGAAATGCTGCCACACAAGCTAGGTGTGGAAGCACGAATGATCGGGGGAAGGGAGACGGGATGGGGAATGGGATTAATTAGAGGGGGAGTGGCTACAGTACCATCTGTGCGCCGACAGAAAGTGGAAAATCTTAAAACATCTTTTAGATAAACCTAGGGGTGTTACAGAGGACATATGTTCCTCTTAGGCCACACCAATTTAATTTCTTGGTTAACAGATTTTTTTTAGAAAAATAATGGAGCGGGCGGGCGAAAAAAAAAAAACAGGCCCGGGCATCCTATTATGGCCCAAAAATGGTACACTAATAGGAGCCATGAAGTCAACACCCCAGGCTGGTTCAAAATGTAAACAATGAATTTTGAACTTTTAATCAAACCACTGCATTGAAAGATGGAATAATTTTAACAACTAGGAAGAAAAGGACTGTTTTCAACTGTTCAGGGCAGAATATGAGCATTTTGCAGTTGATTCTGAATTTTTTTTGCAAATCGGAAAAAAGTGAAGCAGGCGAATCCGTTAACCAAGAAATTAAATTAATTTAACATGTTGTGTTTCCTGTTTCCCGACCGACCCTAGACTTTTTTGTGTGGACCCCGGCAAGGGACATAAATTTTTCAAGCGTATTAACCTTTTCTAGCTCCATGATCTGACACCTGAGTGATGAAACATTGTTCAGTCAGTTTTCCAGCAATGACATCGAAAATATAAGTGACCTCATCCAGGTTTTACTCTCTTAAACTTTAATTGCATGAGTTTGATCTACTAAAGATCACCAAAGTCTATAAAAAAAAATCCCTACCTACCGACCGACCCTAATTTTTTCAGGACTGAAACAGGAAAACACAACACTTTTCTCCCTAGGCCTTACATCTTATACTGTGATTATATTTATAACTAGAGAGGCCGACATTTGCTTGGGAGCAAATACAGCATATTTCAGTCCATCTCCCTCCCACGCAAAAGTGGACTATTCCAAACTTACCCCAGTGTAAAACTGGCAAAGATTCTCAAATAAATGAATTGTATACTAGCTATGTAATTGAGAACAAAGATGCAAGAACAAGCACATTGAATCTCGAAAGCTTTACTAATCTTCTTACAGGTATGCAAATACTAACAATGATGAGATTTGATACATTTTGAAGGTCTTAGGCAGATAAAATTGAATGTGTGGGTCATTCCACATGACTTACGTGCAATGTGACCTCAGGTAACCCGCAATGGAACACGTGTTCCATGGCCAACGGCAGATAGAACGTGCCATTCTTTAGATAGAACATGGAACGGGTATAGCACTTTTGGCCCTTTTTTTGCTGAAAATAGCCATTAAAGTCCCCCAAATGAGTCATTTGAAAGTGGTGTATGCCAAATATGTGACTGCTGTTCTGTAGACACATGTTCAAGGTACCCTTATACCGAATTTCAGATCATTTGGTTGTAAAACCAGGGCTCAGGATCCAAAAATCCATTTTTTGGCGAAAAATGCCCCAAAAAACCTTCATAAAAATTTTTCAAAGGCATGTATCAAAAAAATGACAAAAACGCCTGGGGGTATTGGCCCACTCCCATGCCAAATTTCAAGTCATTTGGCTGAATGATGGCGGAGTTGAATCCCTCTGACTGTTTGGCAGGAGGAGGAGAAGTAGAAGGAGAAGAAACATCAGAGAACACAATATATTTCATCCATACCATGGTATGGACTGAAATATAACTACACATGTAGGAGTTGTGTATGATAAAGACATACTTTCTCGGCACAGTTTGTTCTCACAGAAGTATAATGTTGCAGAAGAATCTGACCAGACTTTTGTCCTTTTCATCACCAGAGTCTTGCCCACTACTGAACATGTACTACCACAGTGAGCAACAAGGGGGCGCTGATGCACAGCAGTGGGTGACAATGCAGCAACAGGTGTGTGTTTTTGTATCTATGTGTTGGTAATACAGTGTACATGTACAGTCAAACTTAGATGGACTCACAGACCCAAAGTGACCCAGTCAGTGACATTTTACATTACTCAGAGACTGTCAAAATCAATGGCAAACTGGCTGATTAAGATTTCTTGCTGTTTAGGCCATGTTGATTTGATTATATGGATGACATCCTCCGGGAGCCCCAAAACTGATGCGCGCGTGCGAAAAAAAAAAAAGTTCTTTTCATTATGAAATCTACGTGGTCATGATGGTTGAGCAAATGGCACAGAATATGGTTTGGCGAATAATCTAGTCTTCAAGTTCATTTCTTTACAATTTCGTCTTTTTTCGTTTAATTTTGGCATTCTACGACATTGGTATAGTTTTTATTAATTTTTTTTGTAACTTATGGTATATTTTTGCTCATTTTGCAACTGTTTTGTACGATTTACAGTATGGTTGAAAACTTTTTTTTTTTGGAAACGGCCGAAAATTCATGCGCGCACGGATGTCATCCATATAATCAAATCAACATGGCCTTATCACAAAATAAAATGTTTGTAAAGATGTCTGTATCATCCTAATGTTACAGAATGCAGCTTTAAGTTGGTATTAGTAACATGACAAGAGACATAAGTCTAATGTTCCTTCCCCCAGGTTGTGATGTTCCTGTCCACAGTGTTGTCTACCCACCCAGCAGGCACTGCTCTACTGGTCAGGAGGGACTGTCAGTGTAGTGTGAAGGTGGGAGGTTTTTTTTTACTTTTCCTTGTTTTATCTTGCAAGAAATGAATATTGAACATGTGTTATGTGTGACAACAAAATTACATAAATTAAACATCATGCAACTTATCATGGAAACTGGTATTGGTATATTAAATGGTTTGTCGAAAAGAGGTACATGTAGGGTTAGGGTGAATGTACATAAAATGTAGCATATGTCTTCTCCGTCATGGCCAAGTGAGCTAAAACTGGATCAAGATCATTAATTCCTTTAATTCTTGTGTTCCACAGGTAGTGAGATCACTGGTGATGATGTTGTACGGAGCTGTGAAGGAAGTGTTGGAGAATGGGGAGACTTTGTCAGCCAGGAGACAGTAAGTGTGCATGTTAATATAGTACAGAAATGTACTGCACATCAAGCTAACACTGGGTAACTTGTCAAAATGTTCCAACAATAATATTGGAGTTGTGTGGCGTAACAGCAGATTGTTCGGCTTACATGTAGAACCAGGAGGTCCCGGGTTCGAATCCTACCATGCCACTGCCCTTCGGAAAGGCACTAAATACATCTTTCCTCACTTCACCTAGTACCAAGCTTCAGTTAGGGACGTCCCTCGGGTAGGACGTTAGATAGAGGTCCCGTGTTTGGAGAGGGCCACACCCCACGCATGTTAAAGAACCCACCACACTTACTGTATTGCTAAGGGTAGGGGTCCTTCCCAGTGTGAGTTATTGTCGTCAAGACTGGGTCAGTATTTAGAGGAGCCACGTGACCAGTCTCACTGGGTCAGTCTACTGAAGAAGACCAGAGTTACTGGTCTAATTTAAATAGCTCTAGATGAGAATAAGGTTTAAACAACCAAAAAAAGTCATGTAACTACCAAGTAACCAACACAGATGAACTTTCATGAGGCCACACCAATTTAATTTGTTGGTTCTCGGATTTTTTCAGGAAAAATATGAAGCGACAGGGCGAAAAAAAATAAAAATAAAAACAGATCTAGGCATCTTATTATAGCCCCAAATGCTACGATAGGAGGTATGAAGTCAACACAAAAGGCTGGTTCAAAATTTAAACAATGAATTTTGAACTTCTAATGATACCACTGCATTGAAAGATGGAATAACTGTAACAACTAGGAAGAAAAGGACTGTTTTCAACTGTTCAGGGCAAAATATGAGCATTTTGCAGTTGATTCTGAATTTTTTTGTTTTGTTTGCAAATCAGGAAAAAATGAAGAGGCGAATCTGTTAACCAAGAAATTGAATTGGTGTGGCCTTACAGTAGTTTAAAAAGTATAGCACTCCAAGGCTAGGTGGCCCTTGGGTCATAAAAACCTTAAGCATAACATTGGCATGAACTGTAGACCTGTCCTTGGTGCTGAATGACATACAACTGAATCTGTCAGATTTTGAAATACATGTTTGGGCCACACCAATTCAATTTCTTGGTTAACGGATTCGCCCGCTTCATTTTTTTCTGATTTGCAAATAAAAATAAAAGTTCAGAATCAACTGCAAAATGCTCATATTTTGCCCTGAACAGTTGAAAACAGTTCTTTTCATCCTTGCTGTTACAGTTATTCCATCTTTCAATGCAATGGTATCATTAAAAGTTCAAAATTAATTGTTTAAATTTTGAACCAGCCTGGTGTGTTGACTTCATGACTCCTATCGTACCATTTTAGGCCATAATAGGATGCCTAGGCCTGTTTTTCTTTTTTTATTTTTTTCGCTCGCCCGCTCCATTAGTTTTCTATAAAAATCCGTTAACCAAGAAATTAAATTGGTATGGCCTTAACCTGTTTGGTATGTCTGTAGTCTACAGCTCCTAAGAAGTGGTGTCCTAGTCCTGCACCACCTGAGTCTACACGACCCCCTGTATGGAGAACACCACGGTCCTGTAGAACACCTCTACATCTCACTGGTACACGGGCTCAAGAAAGTCTTCTCCAAACTCACAGACGTCAGGGAAAATGAAGGTATCACAAACATTACTGTATGTATCACTGAATAACTCCAGAAGTAACAGTTAAAATCTGAACTTACACTTGGCAGGGCTCAAAATTCTGTGTTATTCAAAGAATTGAATTTACCCAAATTTTCGACTGTACAACTGTACAACAGTCTTTGTTTAGAAACGAGCAATCCACCGCTTCTGTGATGTCATGTTATGCAAATGACGCACGTAACTCGGTGAGGAGTGGATCGTAAGTTGTAGAAAGTCTGTGGCGCCCCCCGTCTTTGTTTAGGGAAGGTTGAAGTGCCCAGATGTAGATGTAGCATCTTTAATCCCTCGTGCGAAAAAGTCTGGTTTGGAGTCCACGATTCTAACTTTATCCAATAAGACTGAGTGTCCAGATGATTCTATATGTTGTGAGACGTCCGATGTAGTCAAACTAGGATGTTTACCAAGACACTGATGAACTTTCAAGATGTTTGTACTTATACATGTATGTGGTTGCCTTGCCTTACAGAAGTTGCTGTGCACGACTTGTGGGAGTTGGACCATCTGGATGACAGTGGTGGCTCACAAGATGCTCACATGGAGGTGGACCCGTGAAGAACAAATAAAAACTAATTTTTAATTTTGGGGCCTTTCAACCCCAAAGGCTAGGCTTAGAAAAACAGGCCTACATGAACACAGCAGTTCCATTCAAACCCTTGCCTTGATAGTTTTTTTGGTAGATTCCTCTGTACATTTTGGAAGCTTTTTATCGAAGATATAACACTGTCAGTCACTCATTGCTAAGCCATAATTATGCATGGACCGCAATTTTATATACAAGTACTAGGGATATGTTCTTCTGTAAAACAGACTTATGCAGTGTATGCATAAAATTAATTTTGTAACTGTGGAAAAGAAATGAAATTTCTCATATGACTTGAATGCTTTCCTATTCATGTATGTATACATCTATACATCTATACATGTGTCCTACAATAATCTTTACATTGAACTTCACATTTGTTACAAAGAGATTTACGTCAGACCAATGTGGGAAAGGCAAAAGCGCACATAAAGTATAAAAAGTCATTGAGATTCTTCTAAATGATTTCAGTCCCATTTTACTTCACATCTTTGCTGTAGATTTCTTTGAAGACACCCTATAATATCCATCCTGTACTGATGCCAGCCATTATATAGCCTACATTTTATCTGTTATACATATATGTTTTGAATGTATTAAATAAAATTCTATATTATCAGATATATGATGTCTTTTCTTGCTTGTATTATGTTTCCACATAAATCTATAGCTACAGTGTAAATATTTAGTGAAATGCTAGGTGTGAATATAACTAACTTCTACTAAATACCTGCATCAGTAAATATGAACAGGTTAGCGTTTCAGTTTGTAATCTATTCTAAAAGCTGTTTGGCACCAGAATTTTTATGCAGCAAGGACAGAGTAACGTGTGAATTATATCTTCTGGGTGAGACAATAAGAGAAATTAGTAAATGCATTGACCTTTTTAGGGTAATGCAAACCAAGTTAACCAAACAAACAAAATACTAAAGACGATAAAATTAAGAGTATACTAAACGATGTATAAACGACTCTACTTGGCTGTATTAGACGCTCTTCTAACTGCCATCTCTGCCAGAAAAGCATTTTATTACAACACACGTTGACAGGTTGGGAAGCATTTACATGGAGTTCTTTTCAATACTGCTAGGTGGCGCAAGGAAACCGTGCAGTTGCGCCACGACCTCTGACCCTTTACATGTCAAAACTTGCCCGCCAAACAGAAACATCGTGATCCTGGTTTCCTAGAAAAGATCACTCTTTTTCTCCTAACATGAGTTGTTTTGGAGGCCGGATGTCTGAGTATAGGTTTTTGTCAATCGACAGATTTGACGGAGAAAATCTGGAGTCCTGGGCGTTCTTTCTTTCGCATGCACACAGAGGTAAGAATCACCCTCCCACCGAAGTTCTGGGATGAAAATTATTTTTTATCATGTAGAAAAATATTTATACTACTAGAACAGATTTGCCTCTGGCAGAAAGATTACATTACTGTGTTATTAATTTTCAGATCACATGGTTGGGTTGGATAGTCCAGGCTTCCTGTCTAGATTGAAGTCCAGGTGAGATATAACGTTACGTAGTAATTAAAATTTTCATATCCTATTATTAATATAAAATTATGAATGATTTCTACACCTCGTTTTTTTTATAGCAAAGTTTTAAATTCTACAATTATGAATGATTTCTACACCTCGTTTTTTTATAGCAAAGTTTTAAATTCTACATTTGTTTTTTTTTCTGGTTAATTAGGTTGTTTCACTTGCACCACTGCAAAATAAGTTGTGTACCCCCATGGGCACGCATTGTGTAACAGTTTTGTGCCAAAAATCAAAATATTTTATCTAAAGGAATATACTAGTAGTAGTACCAGTATGTGTGATTGTAGTTTACTTCCACTTTTCTATATTTTTGTGCAATCATCTAATATTTCTGACATTTATAGTTGGCACTAAAACAACCCACACAAGGCACACTTAGTTTGTGGTGCCACCACAAAATACCAGAATGTAAATAAACATAGCTGACAGCTGTCTTTCAAGCTTAGACATAATTTTTTTTAGGAAAAAGATATTGCACAATGTATGATTTATGAAGCCTTTGTTTGCTTTTCTATGTAGCCTAAAAACTCGACTGTACTGCTCAGAGATCACCAAGGCCTTACTACTGACGGAAAAACAATTTAAACCACTGGAACCATTTATTGTAAGTATGCAGATTTAAACATATAAATCAGTTATTATGGGAAAGTCGTTAAGATGCATGAGCAATTAAATGATACACATTTGTAATTGATTTTCATAATCGTTTCAAACTTTGTGGGTCAAGGCAGGGGGGATATGATAAAATTTCATATTCATTGAAAATGGATTTAGTAGATTATGGTAGTTTGTCTTGTGGCTGTAAAATAGTTCATAAGGCCACACCAATTTAACTTGTTGGTTCTCGGATTCACCTCTTCGTTTTTTTCTGATTTGCAAAAAAAAAAAAAAATTGATTCTGGTCCTGAATCAACTCAAAAATGCTTATGTTTTGCCCCCCAACAGTTGAGGAAAGTCCTTTTCTTCCTAGTTGTTACAGTTTTCCCATCTATCATTGCAGTGGTTTGATTAAAAGTTCAAAATTCAATGTTTAAATCTTAACCCAGCCTTTTGTGTTGACTTCATGGCTCATTTTGTAGCATTTAAGCCTATAATAGGATGCCTAGACCTGTTTTTATTTTTATTTTTTTCGCCCTGTCGCTTCATATTTTTTCTGAAAAAATCCGAGAAACAACAAATTAAATTGGTGTGGCCTAAATAGCAATTCTTACATTTGACTTTAATTTTTTTTTTTTTTGTTGTAGGAAACTTTAACAGTTGACACACCCACAAGTCTGACAGTTACAGATGAAGTTACAGGGAAGGTAAGGAAATTGTATTACATGAAGTGCTAAATACACTTGAATCACACAACTTGTACTTCAACATATATGTGTAACAGTCATATCTACATGTATCTGGAAACCAATTACTAGTATTCATTACCTCAAGAGCTAGCCAGTGTCAGTAAAGGTAAAATGGTATGTAAAATTGAGTTGCATGTAGGGGTGCGTATCGATTCAGTTCATAACTCCAAATTCATTTTTGGGAATAAGTGCACTGGTGCACCCAACCTAAAAAATTGGGTGCACCAAAAATAAGTTTTAGGTGCACCATATAAAATAGAATGTCAGCAATAAGTAATTATATTTCCAAAGAAAAGTACTACAACAATTAATATTATTTTTCTGTCACTAGGATGTTAAGAATATGCTGTATATACATTTAACATCTTTACATACTTGGAGATATTTGGGTGCACCAGTGCACCCACAGAAAAAATTGGGTGCACAGCTCCAAATTTGGGTGCACTAAGGTGCACAGACACCCAGTATTTCGAGTCCTGCTATAATATATATATAATATTAATTTTTTAAAAGAATATATGTCTACCTCATTAGGAGTAAAAGAATAATCCAAACACATCTTTCACAGGTTTCTTGGACTTGGACTAACCAGGTTCAGCCAAATCGTTACCCCTAAGTTGCATTTCATCGTTATTTACTGTTTCCTGTCTCTGTTTGCTGCCACAGGAACACAGCCTACTGGTAACCCTTCTACAGGCAGGGCACTGTCCTGGCTCTGTCATGTAAGTAACACAGCCTACTGGTAACCCTTCTACAGGCAGGGCACTGTCCTGGCTCTGTCATGTAAGTCCTGACAACATGGATTTACCTATGTTTGTTTAATAATTTTTTAAAGATGCCTAAAGAATGTACAACCCCACCCTCAATAGGGAAGCGGGGCTACGGGTCGATCTTTCCAGCACTTGGATTTGGTACTCCCAGCCCTGAGGACAGACAACACTTAAGCTTCTGTTCCATATAACAGGAGCTTTCTGACTAATTTGCATCATCTTGTCTTGACTTGTCTGACTTTTGTTCCTTTTTCGTCTTCCAAAAATTTGTCTTCACTCTATTTGCATATCAATCAATAGGTTGTGCTTATAAACCTGCATTTCCCCTCCGGTCTCTCAGTCACTGACGAAAGCTAGTGGATACTAGCTGAAACGTCTGACGTTTTCAAAATCATATCCAGTTGCTTGAGTAAAAATTTAAATAAATAGATATCAGTAACAAAAGTAAGTCATCACGCAATTAATAATTAGGTCTATAATCGCTCAGTAAGGGTCAGTTACATGCAGTGACAATAGTCTTTTGAAGGTTGTGAGTCTGAGAAGATGCTGTCCAGAAATCAGTAGCCTTAGAAAAATTTCACTATTTGGAAGGGAAATAATCAAAGGAATGAATCCCCAGGAGATTCAGAATATGATGTAGATTGTGTTTCTTCCATCTACAGGTTTTTGTTTGAGGGTACAGAAGGTACAGTACTGTATACAGGAGACTTCAGACTACCCGTGGGGAGTGCTGCACAGTTTCTACATCTACATCAGGGAGGAAGGTGGGTAATCATGTTTCAAGTTCAACTTTATTTATTCATCCATAGTATATATCTCATTCTCAGATCTAACTACATCTGAGGGATTCAATCCACTTATTGGTTATGTTTACCTTAAGTTTGCAGAAGGAAAACATATTGCTTTTTCCTTTTCTTCTTCGTTTCCAAACAAATTACTAGTAAGTCAAAGACCTGGACCAGACGTCTGTCACTATGGTAACTGGTGATGTAGCAGACACCCTGTGGTGTTGGGTTACAACTTACAATATGTTGCAAGTTTCAGGACAGAGTTGGAGACCCTGCTCACCATACATGTACAATCATGATTGTACATACACAATGTATGAATGTGTTTGGCTTAGAGTAAGAATAAATAGTGCAGTAGTTTGTTGGGCTAGACCATGTGAAGGTACTAGTAAACATTATGCATTTGCATTGAAAATATTATTCTAGTTCAGGTAATGTTTGCAGTAGCAAACGTTCATCACAGTCTGAGAAAAATGTTTGCAGAACAATTTGTTTTTTTCACGGCAATGTGAACTTAAAAGTTCACAGTACCGAAGTGAACTGTGAATGTAAAAGTACCACAAAAAAATTGTGATTCACAGTATGTTTTCCTTCTGCAGAAATTGAACATAATGAAAGTGCGTCAGTCAAACGCAAATCAATCAAAGAATTCAATCTCTACCCTAAGGCCACACCAATTTAATTTCTTGGTTAACGGATTCGCCCGCTTCGTTTTTTTCTGATTTGCAAATAAAAATAAACATTCAGAATCAACTGCAAAATGCTCATATTTTGCTCTGAACAGTTGAAAACAGTCCTTTTCATCCTAGTTGTTACAGTTATTCCATCTTTCAATGCAATGGTATCATTAAAAGTTCAAAATTCATTGTTTCAATTTTGAACCAGCCTGGTGTGTTGACTTCATGGCTCCTATCTTACCATTTTGGGCCATAATAGGATGCCTAGGCCTGTTTTTATTTTTTATTTTTTTTGCCTGCCCGCTCCATTATTTTTCTAGAAAAATCTGTTAACCAAGAAATTAAATTGGTGTGGCCTAATGAAAGTGCGTCAGTCAAACACAAATCAATCAGAGAATTCAATCTCTACCCTAATCTGGTTCATGCAAGAGGTCCTTTTATTTGACCAGGCTTGACGTATTTTTGATTTCAGACCAAAGGACATCCAGAGCCTGTATGTTGACACCACATTCCTAGTCCCAGAGGCAAAGTACATTCCATCCAGGGTAAATACACTGTACATTATCTTTACAAAAATGTAAATACTCCACAAGTGTTTTACAATGTAACATCCGTGTCCATAATATCACCAGGGTCCATAATATCGCCACCTTGAGAAAAAGTGTGCTTTAAGATATTTTTACTGCAACATACTTTTGGTATGCACTCGTTCACACATCAAATGTACATACCTAGAGAATGTTGCAGCAGTAAAAATATCTTTAAGCACACTTTTTCTCAAGGTGGCGATATTATGGACCCTGGTGATATGGACACGGATGTTACGTTCATTCAGTGTTGGAATAAAATTCAGTTGAATTTTATTAGCCCAAACAATGTAATCATATATGAAATTAATAAACAAAACAGAAGAAGGAATGGTACAAACATTTATGTCAGACTTTTTTGTACTTTATATCCATGTATACATGGATATCTATTTATAAACTTCATTAGTGTTAATAAAATATGGCAATTTTTTTTTTCCCTGTTGCTTCATATTTTTTTCTGAAAAAATCAGAGAACCAACAAATCAAATTGGCGTGGCTTTAACCTGCATCAGTAGATGGGGGCACCTGAGGTTGGCTCTGGTGATTTTTTATCGTCAAGGCCTTGGCAAGATACTCAGCGAAATTGAAAATTATTTATTCATGAGGTCAACCGTTATTTCAGGAAGACTGCTGCACTGCCTTGATCAATCTCGTGCAAAGGTAAGATGAACAGGCTTCCATTTATGTGATTAATGTTGTTCTCCTAAATTATGATTCTGAAAATAATTTTATCTGAGGTTTTACTATAAGAACAGTGAGAATTTATGACTACCATGTGACATGGAAGAAGTTTTTACTGCTTTACACCAAGTAAATTTTATGGATGACGTCCTTTGGAGACCCTAAATCTAATGCGAGAGGGAAAAAAAAAACAAGAAGGGCCCTAAAAAACAAGATGCCTAGATTAGAAATATACTAAGAGACGACAAATGTTAGGGCACAAATTGAATGAGGTGACACAGTGTCAGCAAGCAAGAAGTCTTTTATTTATCATTAAAACAGCAATAAATCAGGTGGAACAGTGGACAGTGAAAAATTTTCTGTTATTGACAGGATGGTCCTGTCAATAGTGCAATTTTTCTGTTATTGACAGGATGGTCCTGTCAATAGACACTTTCTTCGCGTTACGTACGGGTTTCACGTCAATCTGACGATTTGCGGCACTGTCGTGACTCTTTGGTCATAGTTACAGGAAGCGGAATTTCTTGTTTTTTTCTAGGAACAGGCCAAAATCAATGCGCGCGCGGACGTCATCCATAAAATTTACTTGGTGTGGCCTTAAGTTTTTCTTATGGATTGCTTTATGTGTATCTTAGGAGCCACTTATAAAAATAAAGATCAGAAGTATTACATAGCCAGCTATGTATCAAAATATGTACTAGTATCACATTGTATATAATTATTATGCATAATATATTAAGACCATATCATTAATTTTGCGTCATATCTTCCTTTTGTCATTCATTTTGTATCATGATCCTCTCATATCTTGTACACCAATTTTTATCAGTCGAATTTGGTTCTCCATTTTATATTTTTTTGGAAAACAAATCACCAGAAGCATTGTTAAATATGTAAAATTACTGTGTGTAATTAATAGTAGTGGGTAATTATGTTACCAAAGGAAAACAATTGTTTTTGCTCAGTTTCTCCCTCTTCTTCCTCTCCAAACAGTGACCTCTGACCTGACCAATGACATGATTTGTTGACATCTGTCACCATGGTGACTGGTGTTGGGTTACATAATGTTGCAATTTCATGGTCTGCTCTGCTCCTGTCACCATTTACATGTACTAGTAGTATGTATATGAATGTGTTTGAGTAAGAATTAACAGAGCAGACCATGTCCAAAGGTAAACATTTATTTGCTTTGCAAATGTTACTTCTCTAAGACCCTGTTCATACCAGACTTATATTTAGCGGTTTCAATCGGTTTTTCAAAAACCGGTTTTTATTTAACCTGGTGTGAACGCAAATTAACCGGTTTTTTAGGGGTTTAAATCCGATTTTCAAAAACCACCTCGGGAGGTGGTTTTTGAGGGGTTTTTCCACCGAAAAACCTGGTCTGAACGCTAAGGGTTTATTGAACCGGTTTTTGCGTCATAATTCTGGGGTCACGGGGTCAGCATCCTGGCCATGTGCGACCTCCAAGTTTTTTTGATCGCGCTGTTTAGACCGTTTCCACTGTTTTTCCACGGTTTCTCTTCATTTTTACGATGGAATCAGCCAACGCAACCTGGTCGGTGGACGAAACGCTCCCGATACGTATTTTTGGAGAGCAGGAGTTGATCGCCAAATTCGAAAAAGCTGGGGGGAGGGCTCTATTGAGGTCTCTACCGAAACAAAAATGTTGGAGGAGCCTGGTAATGGCCGATTAACCGGATATTCGCTGGACAGGGTTTTTGAAAAACCGGTTTTGTAAGTCTGGTGTGAACGTGACGGGTTTTTGCCGGGTTAATTATTTAGCGGTTTCAACCGGTTTATATAAGTCTGGTATGAACAGGGTCTAATATTACATGTGAATTTCTTCTGTTCCTGTCCAGCTGGATCAGCAGAGGTTCCCACTATGTGGTGAGGCTGAACTGTAAGGCAAAGTACGGCTACGAGTACCTCTTCATAGAACTCTGCAGGAGGTTTCATATGAAGGTGAGTAAACATCAAAATAAGAAATGAAATTATAGTTTCACTCCTTTCCCTTGATTCATTATGTTTACCGAAGGAAAGCATATTGTTTTTGCTCCATTTCTTCTTCCTCTTCTTCTTCTTCTGTTCCAAACACTAACCTCTGACCTGGCCAATGGCCTCTTTTGTTGACGTCTGTCACCATGGTAACTGGTGTTGGGTTACATACAATGTTGCAATTTCATAGTAGGCATTTAGGCTCCTGTCACCATATACATGTACATGTATGTGAATGTGTTTGAGTAAGAATTAACAGAGCAGGCCATATCCAAAGACCGAAGGTAAACATGATGCATTTGCTTTGGAAATGTTACTTTTCTAGTTTAGAGTTATGAATTTGTTATTTATTACGTCATGTTGATTTGAGTAATAATAATAATAAACTATACATTATTTTGTACATGGGTGACATCCACACTTGCATTTCCAAAAAAAGTTTTCCACCATGCTGTAACTTGTACAAAGGGAAATGAGGAAATATAATGTACTTGCCATAGATTGGAAAAAAAATATTGGAAAACAATACTGTCGCATAGAATTCCAAAATCAATTCCAAAGGAAAAGAAGAAAATGTGAGGAAATGAAGAGTCTATTATTTGCCATACCATACTCTGTGTGTTAAGTCATTTGTTCAGCCTTCATGACCACATAGATTTCATAATGAAGGAAACTTTTTTTTGCCAAACATTTTTTATACGCACGCTCGCATCAGTTTTGTGGTTCCTAGAGGATGTCATCCATAGAATTAAATCAACATGGCCTTATTGTCAATTTCACAACGATGCTGTACATATTTCATTGTCACTTCCTCCCAGGAGACCATTTTGAACTCCGATTTGACTTTCCTGTCAGTCCGTGGTTACATCATTTCCCCTCCTATTTCCTGTGACCTTACAGTATTCAAATGCATGTACTGTAATTTCTGATTTTTTTCACTGTACTTTTATGTTCACTGTTTTCACTGTCACTTCTGTTCTGTTAACTTATTATTACAGTTAACAAATAATTCCTGGACTTTCTTTTTCCTGCACCTGTCATCACAGTGAATAATATAGTTCCATGAACATGTCCATTTTTTCAGACCGTGAAATTTTGCTACCGTGAACATAAGTGAATTACAGTAAAACGGACACACAAGCAAACAAACAGACAAACACACCAAAAACAAAACCTCTGCACACGGAGGTAACAACAGTTGTATAATCCACTCACTTTGTATTCTGGTATCTAGCATCGTTCAGCTTTGCTCAACTACCAAACACAAGATTATTCACTCTGTATCTCTAAACAAAATGAGTTTTGCTTAGTCACTGTTATCACTCAATAATGTCATTACACCAGATAAAGCTCTGCCTCTGTAATTAGTTTTTGTGCGAGTACATTTTAATTTGTAAACTTTCTGCAATCAGCCGCACAGATATTAATCTAAAACATATTGCACATGTATGCTTGACGCCTTTCTCTGTAATTAAATTAAGGAGTAAGATTACTAATATTATCATCGGATTGGAATGACGCAGGAAGTTAGATTTGCTAGAAATGCAATAATGCAGGGGATGAAAGTCTGTGTTATAGGCCATTTGATTTGATTATATGGATGACATCCGTGCGCACATAAATTTTTGTCCATTTCCGTACCTTCACAGAAGGAAAACATTGTTTTTGCTCTGTTTCTTCTTCCTCCTCTTCTTCTCCAAACAAATAAGGTCAATGACCTGAACCAGACGTCTGTCACCATGGTAACTAGTGTTGGGTTACATCATGTTGCAATTTTATAGCAGTAAGGATTTAGACTCCTGTCTGACCATTATATCATATGAATGTGTGTGTCACAGAGCAGAGCATATGTGAAGGTAAACATTATGCATTTGCTTTGTAAAATATCTTAAAGTTTCTAGTTTTATTATACTTTTGCTCTAACTCTCCAGGTACATGTGAATGATCCCAGTATCTACCAGGAGGTCCCCGAAATCTTCCAGTGTCTGACCTCTGACCCCAGCGAGACACAGATCCATGCCTGCAGATGGCTGGTGAGTCATTCATTAACCTTCCACAAGCTAAGGCAGCCTTTTGGCCAGGGCTCTAGCCAGCACCCGGGTTTAAAATTTTTAAAGCAATTGTCAACCTTGATGGACACAATTGAAATAATCTTGAGTAAAAGTACTTGTAGGAGGAACTAAGGTCTAAGGTAAGGTAAAAGTATAAAAACGTCCAAAGGACCACCAACAACCACTCTCAACCCCATGATTTGCCTCTCAACATGTGGGAAGTAGCATTAAAAATCTCAAATTTAACCCTCCCCCACCATTACTGCAAGCACAATGAATTGTTCACTTACCCTCCCTACTATCCATTTTAATGTGAGTTGTTCCAGTTGCTGGGTATTACTTGACATTGTGTAATACTTATAACCTTCAGACATTAGTTGATCATGTACATTATGATATAATTACAGTTGTATCTTGAATACAAATATTATTATAGAAAATTGATTCTTTGGCCATGTAATATTTGAAGGTCTAGTGGTACTTTCAATTGGTATCTTAGGCCACACCAATTTAATTCCTTGGTTAACGGATTCGCCGCTTCATTTTTTTCTGATTTGAAAATAAAAATAAAAATTCAGAAGCAACTGAAAAATGCTCATATTTTGCCCTGAACAGTTGAAAACAGTCCTTTTCTTATTACTTGTTACAGTCATTCCATCTTTCAATGCAGTGCTACCATTAAAAGTTCAAAATTCATTGTTTAAATTTTGAACCAGCCTGATTTGTTAACTTCTTGGCTCCTATTGTACCATTTTGGGCCATAACAGGATGCCTAGGCCTGTTTTTATTTTTTATTTTTTTTCGCCCGCCCGCTCCATTATTTTTCTAGAAAAATCCGTTAACCAAGAAATTAAATTGGTGTGGCCTTAGCGTCTATATATATCTTAGTAAAGGAGATCCAAACAGTTTGATTACTTCTGCTGAGCCGGGTTTATTAGTCCGTATGTTAACTCTAATACACAGTACTAGTATATCGTCTATAGTAATGGTTCACAGGGGAGTTTAGCACTTAGATACACAGAGAGTTACCAATAGCCTAGGAAGTTACACAGATGAGATACTAACGGTTATACAATACTACTCTACAGAGCTACAACTACACATGTACCTGAGTCCTTGGTCACCAACTACATGTAACTTACAGAGCGATTGTCACTTCCAAGCTCAACTATGCTAACAATAGTCCCTCACCTGATTGGTTGCTCTCACCAACCAATCAGGGCCTACCTAACGCGCTAATATATGCATAGCTCTCTATAACAAGTCTTTCCACCTGGTCATTTACATATTACCCTAGTATAGTCATAACCGTTACAGCTGGTTCTTGTATTTGCATGGTTCATATTTTTCTGATTTGCAAAAAAAAAACGATTCAGTTTCTGAAGCCTAAGAAGTACTAGATGTGGAGTCACGACATACTTAGATTAAAAATGTCTGTTTTTATTGACAGGAGAGGTACCAGAAGGGTAGGCACCACCCGCTGCCCTGTAAGTACCGCCCCCCTCCCCCACATGAGCTGGAGGTCATGAGTGTCACTCCCTCCACCATGTGGTTCACGGCTTACGCAGGGCCTGGGGACGTCGTCAGGTAAAACTAACTTCACAATCATCATGTACATGTACCTCTGTGTGTAGAGGTTTTGTTTTGAGTGTGTTTGTCCAGGGCTTGAAATTCATTTTTAGGAATAGGTGCACCGGTGCACCCAACCTAAAAAATTAGTTGCACAAAAAAATTTTGGGGTGCACCATATAAAAAAAAACTAATTACAGGTCTTACTGCTCCTCTTACATGTATAAGCTTGAATCTGAAATGGGAGCTAACTTCAAAATCTTAAACATTACTACTAGATTTTATTATTTTTCTGACACTTACATGTAGATGCCAAGAATTGGCATTCAATGACATGTCTACGCATTTTGACAAAGTACATGTACTTACTCATTTTGTAGCTGCTTTGTACGATTTACAGTATATGGTTGAAATTTTTTTTGTGATGTCATCCATGTAATCAAAACAACATGGCCTAATATCCAAAATAAAGAATAAGACTTAGTCATGATAATATCATACATATACATGTACATGATGACAAAAATGTGCAAAGAAATGGCAGTAAATGTCAATATTCGACAGAATTTCTCATACAGAATATTTTTGAATTTTGTATTGTCACATTGAAATTGCACTGGATGCCTGCCTTAAATTCAAATCCAGAAAGAAATGTAAGTTTTGCTGATGGGAATCATTATGCTGATGGGAAACAGCGATTAACGATAAATTTACAGACCGCAATCACACTTTGGTAAATGTATTTACGATTATCTTGTAAAATAGGCTGTTTTAAAAAAGGAAATTGGTCTAGACTGAAGTTATGTGTTCAGGTACATCAGCAAAATGAGAAACTAGATGTAATTTTGTAAGTCGATGAAGATAAATTGGAATCAAATGAGAAAGTAATTTGAATTTTTCTCCCCACTACCCATGGGATGGTAGATATGAATACAGATGTATATGTTGGGAAATTGTGTTTCAGTAATATTATCCTGTAAATATGTATCAGCTACATGTATATGGACAATCAAATGTGATTTTTATTGTAGTTGCATACAACAGCAAAAAAGCTACATGTAGCGGTCCATTTGGCGTAACACACCAGCTTTTCAGGCAGGCGGCGTGGCGGCATCTGTATATTATACAGTACAGATCGCGGGATAAGCATCATCGGGATTCGGGATTTTGCGGGATATCCCGCGGGAGTTTGCGGGATATCACGCGGGAGACTGCGGGATATCCCGCGGGAGTTTGCGGGATATCACGCGGGAGATTGCGGGATATCCCGCGGTATTCTTTCGGGAGGCCTGTCGTGTCCCGCGTACCGCGTAGCGAAAAAACTTGGTGCGAGACCCCGAAGTCTACCGCGGCTCGGAACGGCGATGGCGGCGTGCCAAATGTTTATTTTCACGTCCTGCCGGGCGATCAGTGCTGGGCCGATGGAGTCTGACGCCAGTCAACTTTGCTACAATTTTGCTACAATTTTAATGGTGTTGAAGCATAAGAATGTACGAAAATAATGTGTATAAGGTATTTCTCACGCGGTCATAGTTATTATAAAACTGCTACTTTTTTTTTCAAAGCTATTGTTCAGCGCAAACTTTAAGAAACTACCGTGAATGAATACAATGTAACGTGTAGTAATCCCTCCGTCTCCGGTAAATTCGGCAAGATTGTTACCAAGAAATAAAAATTAATGAGGCGTACCGGCAGTAGTTTGTGGTTGTTGTGTTTCATAATCTTGTAGCTGTTGTCTTCTCATGGTAGCTTGCGTCAAGAGGTCTCCGTATTAGTATTAAGAATTGCGACAATTAAAAGTCTGCCCATCAAAATCCCGGGGCGTGCGTCTCCCCCCTCCCCAAAAACTCTTGCATCAACAACGACCATGTCCATAATTAATTTCGATAGATTACTATCACCCTGAAAGCAAGGAGCAAGTACTTCCACACGGCTGGCAAAGTTTCTTTCGGTAGGAAAACATTCTACTTCTGTCAGCTGCAGGGTCAGCCAACTAGATGAAAACGGAGTCGATAGCGCACGTCCAAGACACGGGAGAACCCGAAAAATAAATAAACACGGGAGAACCCGAACTAAACGTGTTTATGATAAATTTTACGGAAATTAATTCGTTCTCAGACCATAAAACTTGAAATTCACTCGGTACACTCTATGGAACTAGCCTCCTCACATGTGAAAAACGTTGTTTTGGGATGAAATTGGGATATAAGAAAATTACAATGTCGCATGCCGGCCGTGCAAGGCGGAAAAAGAAGCCACAATCCGACGTACGTATAACAATCGTCAGGCGGTGTTTCTGTGGGGCGGTGCATCTGACTCAACTCTTTGAATTCGCGGGCCGGCTGGTGGGCGGGTCCCCATCTGCGCGCTGTGATTGGCGCGCCAGAACGCCACGTGGTCAGTCGGCGCCGGGGAGTCTGCCAGCGCCGCCGCCGCTGCTGGCGACGTGCGGTTTCTATGGCGACGCGGCGTGGGAACGCCCGGCCCAACACTGGGGGTCTGCATGCCCTTTTTTGTAAGGCGTAATCAGGCGTTTTTTTATTCATTGTCTTCGTAAACCGAAGGCAACCTTCCCAAAAATCAACGTAATTCGTAATCAGTACATTAGCCGCAAAGCGTAAAAGTCATAATCAGCTATGAAACTTTAACTTTATAGCGAAAATTTTGCGTAATTCGTAATCAGTAACCCCCATGCAGGCCCTGAACACTGCGTGGCGCACGAAATGTATCAAAGTTTGAGGCGTAAAGAACCCTTGAATTATGCTTCGCCCCCTTGTTTTACACAATGTTTAATCTCTCTTCCGTAACTCCATACGTCAACCTCCCCTATCTAGGAGAAAAATAAAGAACTCGAGTGGCGATTTGGCACGTCGATGCGTTAGATTTTTTAAAAATTATATCTGAAATAGCGCAGGTCGGGTGCACCGGTGACATCAAAATAAAGCCGTCCACGTCGCAAGGCCGGACACAAAACTTGTTCAAGAAGGTTGTATTACTTTGTTATCGTTCTGTACCTTATTAAGCCACCAGATTTCCGATATTAAAAAAAAAGAAGAAATGTTTGGTTAAAAATACTATTTGCTCTACTGTTATTTGCATGCATTGAAAACATACTAAAACATGCACGCATCGTCTGCGTAAAATTACTAAAAATCTGTAGTCAACGCGGTTCAACTTCAAGTAACAGCGGCTCCGGCCCTTCGGAAACCTAAGGTCTCACACCGAAGATCGGGGTTGCGGGAGAGGATTTCGTACCGCGGGATATCCCGATAAATCCCGCAGGAGATCCCGCAAACTCCCGCAGGAGATCCCGCAAACTCCCGCGGAAGATCCCGCAAACTCCCGCGTGATATCCCGCAAACTCCCGCGGGATCTCCCGCGGGACTTGATGCTTATCCCGAGATCTGTACTGTACCAAACGACTTGTTACACCTTAAACCTTTGCAAATCTTAACACCTGGAAGGTTCATTCGAATTAATGTATTGGAAACATCTCCACACATTCGGTGCATCTATAAGTTTCTATGAGAAAAAAGTTGTTCACTTCTTGTTAACCTTTGGTGTTTAGCCTTAATTTTGTGTTCTCTGTAGGAAATGCAATTATACCCGGAAATAAATAATGATTTTACATTTTTTTCTCATTTAGAAAAATCTCCAGACACCATCACAGAGTGTGTTTTTCCTTCCATTCTTCCTACACTGAGGTGAGAAACAGTACAGTATGTTTTGTCATAAGACTAGTGTTGGCAGTACTGGTATGACTTATATATATTTTTTCCTTTAATGACTTAATTTCTTGGAAGAATTTTTGATATCTTGCACAGATGTCTAGATGTTGGAAATCCCTTCTATGATAGAAAAATTGTATGATAGTGTGGGGTTGTGTGGCGTAACGATAGAGTGTTCATAACATACTGTAAATCACTTTATATTTGTGACAGCAAAAGTTTGTGATCTGAGAAAAATGGACATGTTTGCGGAACTATATGTTCGCAGTGGTGGCAGGTGCAGAAGAAAGAAAGTTAGCAAATTACTTGTTTGCGGTAATGATAAGTTAGTGTTACAGAAGTGACCGCAAAATCCTCAAATATTAAAGTACCACATATACAATGTATGCAGGTACTGCGGATATAAACTAATTTACAGTGAATATCGGTGAAGAATTGCCTTAGTACAATTCCACAGATATGTGCAAAGAAATATTGCAAGCTGCAGCTTTCAGTTGTGAATTTGAAAGTTAAAAGCCTTCCTGAAAGATCACCCCTTCTAGTACACTGGTACAGAGTATAAATAACTAGTTGGTACACTGTGGATGACACAACTCAACTGTAAGGTCACCTAACCCTTGCCTGAATGATTGCTGGTGTTCAACTGCAGCTTAGGCCACAGCAAGTAATTTTCATGGATGACATCAACGCACACATTAATTTTGCTGCCCTCTGACATTTTGTTGCCCTCTGACAGTGGTCAACATGCCGAAAATGGACAAAGATGTCTGTTGCCATGCTGGAATTTGATTGACATAAATATATGAAGAGAGGAGACAAGACAAGGCTCTGATTTAATGTTTTGTCTTTTACCTATAAGATCTGATGCAGTGATGTATTTCATTCCTTTTATATGATGGTGGCTGTGTAAATGTGATGTTCCCATTGAATCAAATTACCATAATGTACAATGATTGAAAACTTATTTTTCAAAGTTGTTTCAGTGAGAAATGGATGTTGTTGTTACAGTTGGCAGTAAACTTAGCACAATATAGGTATCATTTCTTGTTTATTTAACAAGCTTTATGATGTAAAAATTTGAAAATGTAGGAATCATCTTTTTTTGGCCCGCCTTGTTTTTTTTTAACCCTATCGCGTTAAATTTGGAGGCTGCGGATGATGTCATCCATACAATTTACTTGCTGTGGCCTTACCTCGAGGCAATTTACGATTGGGGTTACGGTGTTCAAATTCATGATTAATTTCATGCCCTAATGTCTGTCTACAGATCCGAGACTTTGTGGGGTACGTCCGACCGAAAACAATTCATGCTAATGTGGCGCCTGTAGGCTCAACGTTACAGGAAGCTGAGGACAGGTAAAGATGGGCTCGTCTTTGATACTTAATACTGGCATCTGTCACTCCGCTTCGGGCTATCACTGGAGAGTTGACAAGAACAAGGGAATGTCACAGTTGGCAGATACAGTTCCTTCTATTGTCTCTTTGGGCCTGGGAAAAAAATGTGGTGTTTCCTGTTTCAGTCTGCAAAAAATTAGGGTTGGTAGGTAAGGATTTTTTTCTTTTTTTTTTAGACTTTGGCGATCTCTAGCTAGCTAGTAATCCAACTTATACAATACAGTCTAAGTTTAGTAAAACTTGCATGAGGACATTTTCAATGTTGATGTTGGATTGATGTTTTATCACTCAGATGTCAGATCATGGAGCTAGATAAGCTTACAAATTTATGTCCCTTGCAGGGGTTTCCACATGCTTTGGTTGGCTGTTTTTTTAGGGTTGGTTGGGAAACAGGAAACACACATTTTTTTCTAGGCCTTTAAATAGGACACACCAATTTCATTCAATTATGGTTCTCAGATGCACCCACTGCATCTTTTTCCAAAAAAAAAGGATTCAGGTTCTGAATCAACTGTAAAATGGTCATATTTTGGTCCAAATGGTTTAAGAAAGCTCCTTGCATTCCTAGTTGTTCCACCTAGAAAATTCATTCTTTGAATCATAAACCAACGTGATATGTTGACATCATGGCTCTTATTGCAGCTTTTGGGGCTATCAGAGGATGCCTAGGTCTGGGGGGGTTTTTCCCCTGTTGCTTCATATTTTTCAGAAAAAAAATCTGAGAACCAACAAATTAAATTGGCATGGCCTTATAAGGTTAAATGTAAAGTACCATAGGTGCAGGTTTTTTTCTACTTGAATGAATGAATGAAGATTTTAATTGTACATTTTGCCCCAATGGGCTAAGCACAGTTTAATGTGAAAAGCATCTTTTTAGTCATTTTGTTCCTAAGAGATGAAGACATGACAAAGATGTACATGTATTTCTTTATCTGCAGGTTACGAGACCTGACCAGGAGTGTCCAGGCTGACTCGTCTTTAGTGTCCTACAAGCCACTCGGGTCCCTCAGACTGCAGAGAGCAGCTCTGAAGAGGAAGAAACAAGGTGATTAGAAAAGCTGCAAACTCAGTTATCATCAAAAGGCTTTATTGTCTGTCTTTGCCCCCCCCCCAGCTCATTTGGTAAGGCCATGTTGATTTGATTATACGGAATTTGATAATGAATTTTCTTCTGTTTCCAAAAGAAGTTTTTGACCGCACTGTAAATCATACAAAGCAGCTGCAAAATTAGCAAATTTATGCCGTGAAATGCAAATCAAAATTATTGGAGAACAATACTAATGTCATAGATGACAAAATCAATTCCAAAGGAAAAGAAGAACAATGTGACGAAATGAAAATGAAGAGTCTATTATTCGCCATACCATACTCTGTGTGTTTAGTCATTTGTTCAACCTTCTTGACCATGTAGATTTCATAATGAAGGCAATATTTTTTGCCAAACTTTTTTTATTCGCACGCTCGCATCAGTTTTGGGGCTCCAAGAGGATGTCATCCATATAATCAAATCAACCTTCATGACCACGTAGATTTCATAATGAAGGTAACTTTTATTAGCCAAAATTTTTTGTGTTCACCCGCTCGCATCAGTTTTTGGGGTTCCCAGAGGATGTCATCCATATAATCAAATCAACATGGCCTAATTAGCGAAGCCTGGAAAACTGTCAAGTCACTTGGCTCATCAATTGGCTTTATTGTCTGTCTTTTCGGTCCCCGGCTCATATCGTAATGAGTGCGTCAGTGTGATTGTAACGTTGCCAACAGTTCTCTTGTTCCAACAGAAGTTTTCCACAATGATGACGAAAACCTCTTCAGCGATGATGACGACAAGCCTCTGCTGCAAAAGAGGAAAATCTTCGTTTCTGACAATCCACAAATCACTGCCCACCCCACCAGTAGCACAGATAACACGGATCCTCTCTTGGTTACCAAAGACAAAATGACAACTCCTCATCAAAAGGACTTGGCCGTATTTGTAACAGCAGAGAGTGACAGGAAAGGAGAGGAGAACTTTGATACAGAAGGAGGGAAGGTCGATGGTGTGGAATCTAATGGAGGATTGGTTGTTAGAAATAGCTTTAATAGATGGGAAGAATCAGGTCTAAAGGATGATGAAGATGAAGAGGAATATGGACCTAAAACTGGCAGTCAACCGTCCTACATCAGTGATGGGGAGGGGGAGGAAAAGGAGGAGGAGAAAAAGGAGGAGGAGGAGAAGAAAAAGGAGGAGAAGGAGGGGAAGAAGAAGGAGGAGAAGAAGAAGGAGATGGGGAGAGGTCAGAGAAAAAGAAAATACAAAGACACAGCTTTAGAAGAAAACCATGACCATATCTTGGACCAAACAGGCTATTTTTGCAACGATACAAGAAAATCTTGCAGCTCTCAGTCAGGGAAAGATGACATTGTAGAAAACAACACACTTGAGGTAGACGGTACTATAGAGAGTAATTCGAGGGACAATAACCGATGTTTGAACAGTGTACAGCCAAAAATTTCCTCACATTCCAATATAGGACAAGGTGATACCCTGGTGCCTTGTATTGACCTAACAGAACATGAGGATAGACACGAGGGTAGGTCTCTATCACAGCAAAGTGTAGAAAGCACCCCCAGTGTGATCCTCTGCTCCAATAGCTCACATGACACAGACAAACGGGAGATACCATTGTCTCAGGGTAGTTCTAACAGTGTCATCTCCTGTCCCCTCACCCCGACGTTATCTGACTCTCAGGGCTCGTCTGATTTTGACATTGACTCGACGCCGGGGACCGAGAAGCCGCATGCCTCGGAGTTGGTAACCCTACACAGGCAGCTCGCTGAGGGGGTAACCCCCAAACTGAAGAGTGCTAAAAAATCTATAGAATTCTGACAAGGTGAAATGTATAAAGTAGGAAGAGGCTAAGATGGTACAGTCCTATAGGCAAGACTGATGAAGCGCATTACGAAGCAAGTTTAAACGGCAATTTCCAACACAAGAAATTGGACTCACCCAAATTTTCGACTGTACAACTCCAGTCTTTGTCAAGGAATGAACAATCCACCGCTTCCGTGACGTCACGCAGATAACACACATGACTCCGTGAGCAGTGGATCATAGGTTGCAGAAAGTCTGTGGCGCCCCCCGTCTCTGTTGAAGAGTAGATTGGATGCACTCTTCAAGGAAAACCCTTGGTTTAGAATAATTCACGTCATTTATATCCAATATACCCAGATGTTACATACATCGATATATATCAATATTTTATTTTTGTATAACATTTCTAGGGCACTTACAATTTTTCAGCGATTTGAGGAGTTGCTCCAAATGTAAACTTGCCATTGCCAATGCTTCTATGATGCTCCTCTTAATGTTAAGACTGAGATAGATATAAAACCGTTGTACACATTCAGGGCATTGTGACCCTGATCTAAATGTCTCCTGATACACACTGATAGATGTGATTTAATAGAGGTTCGGTAAATGGATTTCTGGGTGGATGGGTCATATAAGCTTAGGGAACCACATTGCCCTTCAGGTGCCTTGTTTAAACGATGTATTGGTCTACGAGAATTTTAGGTTTAGCAGGCAAATATTTCAACCAGTGTTCTAGCCAGCCTGAAATGTTTCCATCATTACAATTTTTATATAACATTTGATTCATGGACTGAACGTAAGAATTCTAAGGCCACACCAATTTAATTTGTTGGTTCTCAGATTTTTTCAGAAAAAATATGAAGCGACAGGGCGAAAAAAAATAAAAATAAAAACAGGTCTAGGCATCCTATTATAGGCTTAAATGGTACGAAATGAGCCATGAAGTCAACACAAAAGGCTGGGTTAAAATTTAAACATTGAATTTTGAACTTTTAATCAAACCACTGCAATGATAGATGAGAAAACTGTAACAACTAGGCATAGGAAGAAAAGGACTTTCCTCAACTGTTGGGGGGCAAAACATGAGCATTTTTCACTTGATTCAGGAAAAGAATCAAATTTTTTTTTTTGCAAATCAGAAAAAAACAAAGAGGCGAATCCGAGAACCAACAAATTAAATTGGTGTGGCCTAAGAGGTGTCCGGGGGCATGCTAATTCAGGAAAATTGTGAAATCTTGACCCCCTGAGACGCAATTTCCAACATTTTGAGGGGCCTATTTTGCTGCTAGAGCTTAGTTTAATAACATCTCTTTCCATATTTTTACATGCTGATTTTTGTCTTGTCAAAGATGACGGATTGGGCAAGTATCTTTTTGTCCAAAAAGAACGGCAAAATTTCGTAAAATGACAGAAAGACGGGCGGTGGCCAAAACAAGTTGCAACCATGATATGGTTTGATTTTTCACCAGAAGTACATGTATGTATATTTACAACGAGTTATCAGCCCTCCCTTTTCATCCATGTAAAATTCTCAGTTTTAGGCCTGATGAATTTGTTCGAC